ACCCTGCGCCCCAGACGCAGCCGCCGTGGTGAGGCTGTGAACACCGTCTCCTTTGCAGTTGTTCACATGCTGCCTATTAATCACTCAGCTTCTACGCGTATGCGTGGGCGCCGCTTACCCGTGGTCTGTGACCCAGTTTTGTGCTCAGTGTACTATGCCTAATGGATCGCAGAGCTTTTTCCCTGAAAAGGCAGATTTTGTTCAGGGTGTGGTGCTTTGTGGGGTGAGGTCTGCCCCAAGCATACGACTGTTACGACGGCACCTGTGCCCTGTCACTGAGCGCCCCCCCGGGCAGGGGCAGGTGCGGCCGGGCGCCTTGCTGGGAGCAGGAGGTGAGAGGAGTGAGGGATGCAGGCAGCACGGAGAGACCCTGTGTGTGCGTGGGCAGGACTGTGGGTGCCGGGCCCTGGAAGGTTGGTTGAGCACAGTGACTGCCCACCCTCGAGAGTGGACACAGTGTCATCATCGGGCAGGTGCCGATGGTGTCTGTGACCTCCAGCGCCCCCTCTGTGGGGGCCTCAGGTTCACTTCCTGTCCAGCACAGCATTAGTCATTCCATGCCGAGACCAGGGGCATCCAGATGGCCCCGGCGTGGCCGGGCTGCGTGGGGTGTGGCCAGCAGGGCACTGCGTCACTGGCATTCTGGTGTAGCTTTGTCTTTCAGTCTGCAGACCACTGCTTAGACCTTACTTACCCAGGACGTCAAGGGCCGAGAATCACCCAAGACCGTGGAGGATGTTTAAGCTGAGTGGTGGAGGCAGGGGTGTGTGTGCGCGCATGTGTGTGCGCGTGCAAGATTTAATACAGGACACATAATTTATGGGAATATTTTATAATATTCACACAAGGAGTTACATGCAAGTGTGCGGGAGGTCTGTCCACACGCTAGAGACCCAAAGAGTACAGCTGAGGGCCTGGATCCCAGGCAGTGTCCTGCACGAGTCCAGCTGAAGACCACGACAGTGTCCCGTGGGACGTCAGGTACAGGAAGTAGGTGAGGCGCTGCGGTCGCAGGCACAGGGCGGGAGTGAAAGTAAAGCCCTGCTGGTTGCTGTTTGTTTTTGTTGTGCTGCAGTTCTTGGCCCTGCATGGTCCGGGGTCTGTTCTCTCATCTGTCAGTATCAGTGCGTATTTGTGTTCTGTGGGTCCTGTCCCCGAGGCTGTGGGGCAGGGGGTGGCCCTGGGAGCCCTGGTGCCAGCAACTCAGCTGGCTGCGTGTCCCTGGCTGCGTGTCCCTGCTCTGCCTTCTCAGAGGCTGGGAAAACAGCTTGTGTCCCAGAGACGGCAGCTGCGACTCTCCTCAAAGGACAGGGCAGGGACTTTAGGGTGTCTGAGACCCACGTGTAAGGACTGTGTCCTGAGACACTTCAGTGTCCTGTTGCCTCTGCCGCCAGCAGGAGAAGACAGTGCTGTGTCCTGGTGCAGCGCTGCCGGAAGACCAGGTCAGGCTGGACCTTTTGACCTGGAGCCCAGCGTGGCTTCCACTGATTTCTGCGTTGGTCTGTGCTGTTTTCCCAGGGTGTGGTTTTCTGCCTTTGTCAGATGTGTTTGCTGAGCCCAGCTCCATAGGTCCCTGCCCCTCCACCTGGGGAAAGTCCAGAGGCCTTTGGCTTCCTTTGTAACACAAGAGAGGCCATTTGGAGCGGGAGGGAGGGGCCAGGCGTGTGTTGAGGGTGGCCGGTCTCAGTCTCCCGCTATGTGCATGGAGCCCATGGTGCCTCTGCAGTTCCGGATCAGTGGCCCTTGGGGTGGTGCAGCTGCTGGGCCTGCGGCCTCTCACCTGGAGCGCAGTGGCCTCATGTCCTTGCACTTCTGCCCATGGCTATGGTCTTTGTGCTTATCCACTAAGAAAGGACGAGGGTGCCAGGTTATACCCCCAGCCTGGAGTTCAGGGCGTGGCGCTCCTCCTTTAACTGGAAATGCAGAAAGGAATGAAGGACTGCGGGTGTAGCTTAGTGACAGCTCTTGCCCAGCGTGCATGGTCTGCTGTCCAGCACCGTGATCAGTCCAGTTCTGCATCAACTCTCCAGCACCGCAGTAAGTAAGGAAACTTCATTGTAGTAAAACACAAGGTGGAAAATAATACCCTGCACACGATGCCTGTGAACCTGGCGCCTGCTGCTTTCACTTCACTTTCCGTCTCTGCGCGTACACGGCCTCTGGCCCTGGTCCCCTTGTTGGGTAAAGTGTGGTTCTGGGGTCTGGGATCCCCCAGCTCACTTTCTAAAAATTCTGAAATGGTAACATGCTGTGCCCAGGATGAGTTTGACAACAGGGCATGGGTGTTTTCCTTCAACCTCTGGTATTTTGGTCCCTTTGTCTGTGAAACCAGGGCTGAGTATTTCTTCCTTTTCAATGCAGAATGTGTCTTCCAGCATTCACTATCTGGTTTTCCTTGTCTCTCCTGTAAAAGAAGCCAGGAAGTGGGGTTTGACAGCAGATGGAGTTGTCCCGTCACTTTGTGCCTTCTGACCTAGTAATGTTCTGATAGAACAAGGCTGGGGCTCAGAGGTAGGGTCATGGCCTAGCGTGACTGGCACCGTACAAATACAGGTGTAATGGGAACTCGGAGCACTGTGTTACTGGTGACAAATGGAACACCTTCTTCTCCTAACCTGGGCTGGGTGCCCATGGTGCCAGCAGGCGGCCCCCAGCCCTGCCTGCATACCCACCAGCCACACAGAAGTTTCTGTTTGCTGCACGGGTTGGAAGCAGTCAACCTGTGGTTGGTGGTATCTCATTTTAATCCCTTCCAATAGCCTCGTTTTAATCCCATGCAGTAGCGTTTACACCTGTGCCCGGAAGGCATCTTCTTCAGCACATTCTCCAGAGTGAGCATTTTCAGAGCCTGCGGGCCATCTTCTGTGGCTTTGGAGTCTGGCCAGCCATGTGCAGCAGTCCAGGTGTGGCCACACACGTGCCCAGGTGTGTCCCTGAAGCAGGTGGACCCCTTCGGTGTTGCAGTACCTCAGTTCAGGATGAGATGGGGCAGCCAGCCTGCCCCGGGCCCCACCCCTCACTGTGTGCCATCCTCACCAGAGACTCCTGTCGCTGAGCATCCCGCCCACGGCCAGTGTCACAGAGGGCAGGAGTGGAGTTGGTGACGCTCTTTTAAATAGAGAGTCTTATTTAAAATGAGGTTTGTGGGGGCTGGGGATTTAGCTCAGCGGTACAGCGCCTGCCTGGCAAGCACAAGGTCCTGAGTTCGATTCCCGGTACCAGAAAACAAACAAACCAACAAAAAAACAATAAAATGAGGTTTGTTTCTATGGCAGGCGTTTATTTTATCAGTATAGCTGCTATAAATGAAAGTACATTCGTTTTGACTGGGGAAATGCCTGAAAGGGAAGAGATACCACACAGCGTTCCAGCGTGCATGTGGTGCGCCTGTGTTTGATGGAGCCGTGCTTAATTCATAGCCAATGTATTTGTTGTGGTTAATGTAATCTAATGGTGTGGTGCATGTTTACGGATCAGCCGTGCAGTAAGGAAAAGAGCTTTTGTGTCTTCGTTTTACTATGAGGGGTCACTTGAAAAACGGTATAGAGTTTTACCCGACAAATGGTATAAAATATAGAGGTTACCGAAAGGAAAACAGTGAAAGGAAATTTGCCACCTAGTCCCCAGACCTAAATCAGCAGCTGCTCAGCTCTTAACCTTCCCAGAAAGTCTCAGGCTGAGCATGCGTGTGTGTTGTACATGCGCACACACCATGCCCTGCCGTGCATGAGGGTCCTGTAGGTCTCTGTCGTGCACCTTGCTCTCATCACAGTTGAGAGCTTTGGGGTACTGGGGTGCGTTCTGTATGTTGAGGCCTCAGTCATTTTTATTGGCTGGTTGGTACTTAGTGTGAGTTTATCTGGGCTAACTTTACCAGTGTTGGGCTTCGCTGGAAGCACAGCAGCCGGTGACTGAGTGCTGGGGAACATGATTGTTGTACACCCTCTGTCTTCTTGCACCATCCCCTCCTCCTGTGGGTTCTGTAAGGCCACATTCTCCCTGTCCTGACAGCAGTAGATGGCAACGTAAGGCTTTGCCACCTAGACAGCGGTGTGGTTAAGTAACAGGGTTGGTTGCCATTTGCTTTGTGCCGATTGGGCATCAGGTGTGGGCTACCGTGGTCCAGGCTTTTGAGGGTCACAGGTGATGTCTTTACCTGCACTGAGTTAGGATGCTGCTTGGCTGGCTGAAAGGTGGACGTCCAGTTGCGCGATGTAAATGGTACCCTGCGGTTTCAGCCCCCATCTTGTCTGCCTCTGTGCGGGGAGCGTGGCTTGGGTGTCCGTCCCCGGCCAGGCATCCCCCTCAGGGCTTCTGCTCTGAGCTCCTACAGACCAGCCTCTGCCCACCCCTCTGCCCACTGGACAGGCCCCTCATTCCCTAGGAGCTCAGCATCTCTGCTGTCTGATGCAGTTCTGCTGGCTTCACTTGAGATCGCTCCTCAGCCTTGCTTGTGCGGCTTCTTACTGCCAACCAGTTCCTCCCAAGCTTCTGAATCGCTCTTCCCTTGAGCTGAGGTCTCCTTCCTTGAGTCCTAGGACCACCAGCAATTGGTCCATAGCCTGGCTGCTCAGACATACCTCTGCTTGGTGGGGTTTTACAGCAGTGAGACAATTTTAGCACACTGAATAAAGATCAAAAGTTGACTGATTCAGGGCCAGTTCCAGGAGAGCCAGGAGCTTGTGGAAACCTCTCCACACCGTGGGCAGCCCAGTTAGGATCATCTTTGGGTCTTGGATCCCAGGAAGACCTGCCTGTAGCTGAGTGGGGGAGACGGAGAAGGTGCCAGAGACCTGCAGAATTGCTGGCCCTAGGATTGTATTAAAGACCGTAGGCTTGGGATCCAAGCTCCTTCTGCCCTCTGGCTGAGCTGCTTAAACATGTGCAAGTCGGGGCTTCTCCAGAGGAGGTAGGAGTGACCCGGAAGGGCTGGTCTGCATTGCACTTGCTCTTGAGTGAGTCATAACGTGTAACTTTGCCTTCTGCCTCCTGTTTTGCAGATGCCTTCGTGAACAGCCAGGAATGGACATTGAGTCGATCAGTGCCAGAGCTCAAAGTGGTGAGTGGCTCCTTCTGGCCCCGGTGCTCTGTCCTTACCGGTGGGAAGGGAAGGGGGCTCCACAAGGCGGCATGGACCCCACCCAGGCTGAGGCCCATCCCTGGGGCCCAGAGGCGGGGCGTGCATCCTGGTGTGTCCTGGGGAAGGGTCATGTGCCCCTGGTGATTGGAGGCCAGAGGTTTAAGTGTTGCTGCCACAGCCACAGCCACAGCCCCAACAATCACCCAGCCAGTGGTGCTGTGGGTGTGGTGCAAGGTCATTAGCGCCCTCTCTCTCCTTTCCTTTGTCTCATGTGTGCATGCACACACCACTGCACATTTATCTGTTCTTGGCAGGGTGTCACAAGGATTTCTACACTGAGCCTGCAAGCTTTGCTATTCATTCTTCTTAAAAAGTTGACTTTATATATTCTGAAATACTGGCCTAAAAGGAAAGAGTTTTGTGTTTCATTACAGACTTTACCCTTGCAGTGGAGTAAAAGGTTAGACTGATGTGTCCATCTGCTTTGTGTTGCTGTGATGTAATACCTGAGAATATCAGCTTAGATGAGGAAAGGTTTATGTAGGCTAATGGTTTCAGAGGTGTCAGTCCATTGTCAACTGGTTCTGTTGTGGTTTGAGGTGAGGCAGAGCATTTTAGTCAAGGGACATGGGGCCATGAGCAGAGCCTCGCAGCTCACAACACCCAGGAGGGGGAAAGAGGAAGCCAGAGAGGAAGGTACTGGGGACCAGTGTAGTGTCCAGCCCCATGCCCCTGTGATCTGTTTCCTTCCACAAGGCCCTGTCTTTCCACCAACTCCCAGTAACGCCATCAGATTCTGATCCCACTGGCAAATTGATCTGGTGCTGACATTAGATCTAATTGTCTCGAGAAGCATCCACAGCCACACCCAGAAGTGTGCTTGACTGATTTCCTAGGTGTTTCTCAGCCCTATCAAGTTGACAGTCGAGATTAGCTAGCATGATTGGCTTATATGGAAGAGGCCTGTGATGGTCACCCCTTAAAGCCTGCCCCACTCACACCCCATACCTCAGGATGGACGGAACGGGCAAGTCTGCTTTTTAAGTAATATGGCTGTGTCTGCGTGTGCCCCTGAAGCCTCATGCAGTCATAGGTGGGGCTTTTGCAGAGGTGCCTGTATCTGGAGTGTGTGATGCTGGTGTGATTACCGAATCGGCCCACTGATTGGTTTGGCACTACCATAACCCCAGTATCCTAGATGGAATATGAAAGGGGCAGAAAGGAGCTACTAAAGCCCCTGCTTGTTCCACCTGCCTGCTTGCTGTTGACCGTTGTTCCTCCCCAATGCCCCTCTGCCATGCCACCTTGCTTTGGAGCCAGCTGACTGTGAGCTGAAACCTCTACAAACTGTGAGTCAAGTAACCCTTTTCTCCTTTAACTTTGGGTGTTGGGTATTTTGTCTCGGCAATGAGAAAAGTAACTAAGACTATAAACATACTGTGTCACGAGATACAGGGCCCATGGTGTGCATGTGTACACACACAGCACAACCTGTCAGGTGGTGGGCTCTGACCATGGAGGGGCGGCTGGTAAGTTCTTGCTGGACAGCAGGCTGTGGTGGGCGCATTCCTGATGTGGCTCCTGCTTGCGCCTTCTGTCTCTGCTGCATTTGTTGTTTCTCCCCAGCCTCTCAGCCCTTCTTCTCACCGACCACAACTTTAATGGGTGCTTAAAGGATGGGGCAGGGTGGGGACAGGGCCCTTTAGGTTCTTAGTCTCAGACAGGAAGTACAGCAATAAAGATCCTCAGGCCTTTGAGAAGAGCATATAGGAGTTGTTGCCACAGTGCATGCTTTCAAATTTACAAAATAAAGACCAGTGTGTAGGAGGTGCGTGAGACCAGAACCTGTGTTCCCTCTCCTGTGCCCCCATGCTGTCCCTGGGTGCCGTCCTTGGAGTCTTCCCGTTTCCCGTCCTACTTTTCTGTGTAGCACCTGCCAACACATGTCTTTTCTCACTGGAGACAAAAAGTGTCCTTGTGATCAGGGATCTAGGTTTGAAGCCCAGAGTTCCCCAGGACTGACTACCAAACAGCCACGTGGTCTTTCTTCTGTGTGTTTTGTTACCACAGTCCCTGGCACATTATTAAACCATGGGAGACATTTCAGAAATACCTGTCGAATGATTGACATAAAATTGGTGATGCTATTCTCGGGAACTTTTAAAAGACAGTGGCCAGTTTCTGGTGCACCCTGTTCAGATGGCCCAAGCACCCCACGGGCTGGGGACATCGAGTTACTGACCACGGCAGTGTTTTTAAAGCACTGACTCCGCAGGCCACATTCTAATGTGCTTCTCAGGATTACCTTCTTCAGTTCTGACAGCTGCCCACGATAGAAACATCTCCTGTTGCCTCCACTTCCTGGATGAGGAAAGTGAGGCTTGGGGCATGAGGAACTGGCCCAGGGAGCTGCAGGCAGTAAGTGGTAGAGCTGGGATTTGAGGCTGGAGTCACTGCTTCTGCCCTGGCCCTGCCCAACAGGATGCCTCTATGTGTGCCCCAACTGACACAGTAGCATCAGGCCCTGTGAGGCTCTCAAGGGCTGAAATGTGCCTTTTGTGACTGACAACCTGAGTTTTAAGTTTATGTTTAGGTTAAAACAACACAGGGGACTGTGGTATTATAGACGGTTAGTCAGTTTTCCTATTACTGGACATACTGTGCTCACAATTTAAAGGGCAGAAGATTTAGGGTTTTGAGGGACTCAGTCCATGGTTAGCTGGCTCTAAGGCAGGAACATCATGGTGGATGGGTGTGGTAGAGCAGAGCGGCTTATTACTTCATGGTGGCCAAGGAACAGAGCAAGGGAACAGTTGCATGAAAACAACTGCAAGGGACCAGACCTAGACCCCAAGGCCATATCGGCATGACCCGCACCAACACACACCCCAAGGAGCCTGGGGTACCAACCTACTAGGCATTTCTTAAATTGGTTGTCTTAGTTACTTTTCCCTCGTTTCTGAGACAAAATACCCAATGCCCAGAGTTAAAGAGGGAAAGGTTTATTTAGCTCACAGTTTGTGGAGGTTTCAGTATACTTGGCTGGCTTCAAGGCAGAGTGGCACATAGCAAAGGTCAACATTTCATGGGTGGAAGATAGCAAAAGCAACGAGCAAAAAGGGAGGAGTGGCAGAGAGAAAAAGCCGCTTTCCCTCCTTTATATTATGTGCAGGCTACTCGCTCCAGGGCAGGTGTAGCATTCCACCCATAGTCCCAGCATTAGACCATGAGTCAATCAAAAATTCTGGGGCTGGGGATTTAGCTCAGCGACAAAAGCGCCTGCCTGGCAAGCGCAAGGTCGTGAGTTCGGTTCCCGGTACCGGAGAAAAACCAAAAAAAAAAAAAAAAAATTCTAGAAGCCCACCCCATGACTGCATGAGGGTTTTCGGGGTGGGGACATGTAGAAACAAACCATAACATTCTGCCCCTGGTCCCCCAAAGACTCATGCATATCCCTTTATGCAAAAGGCATTTTAGTCCATGTCTAAGAATTGCCAAAGTCCTAAAGGTTACAGCATTGGTGAAAAGTCCTAAGTCTTCTCCAAGATCTAAAGCAGGCTCTTAGCTGTGAGCCCCTATACAAATGAAAAGTTAAACACTTCCAACATTTAATGGCACAAGGTAAACATTACCATTCCAAAAGGTACAAACAGGGAGATACAAAGGAATGAGACCAAAGCAAGCCCAACATCCAGCAGGGCAGACATTAAGTCCTATAGTTACAAGTGGAACATCTGAACCAATCTGTGGCAAATTGTGAACTCGATGTGGCTGTGCTCCTGTCTCGGTTACTTTTCTCTCCTTGCTGAGACAAAATACCCAAGGCCCAAAATGAAGGAAGGAAAGGTTTATTTAGCTTACAGTTTCTGGAGGTTTCAGTCCGTACTTGGCTGGCTCCAAGGTAGAAGATAGCAAAGCAACAAGAGCAAAGGGGAGAATGGCAGCCGAACAGCAAACAGCCAGAGCAAACTGGAGGAATGGCGGCAAGCAGCTTCTTTCCCTGCCTTACTTTGTAAACAGGCTACCCCCACCTAAGGGGCGTGTAGCTCTCACATAATCTCCATGCCCTCCTCTTCCACAGGCTCAGGATGTACACAAAGTAAGCACCCTGGCTTCCTGCTGAGTCACTTAGCCAAACCTCTAGACTCCCCAAATTGACACAATGTTTCAACCATAATAGCTCCTATGGTACTTCTGATGGCTGTAGCTCCCACAGCTTCTTTCTTGGGACCGCTCTGCTCCCTTCTTGCAGCTTTCCACAGATAATCCACATTCCTGGCTTTTCCAGACTTCTGAGGTCTCCACTGCACCTTTGGCTTCTCATTCACAGCTTCACACACTGCCCTCTCATGGGCACACTGCCTGGCCTCTAGGTGTTGGCCTTCTTAACCTCAGAACTCTTGCATTCCGCATGCGCCTAAAACCAGCACCAGGTGAATTATCAAAGTCTGCTGCCAGCTGGAGCAGTAGCCAGGCTTTCTTCTCTCTTGGTTGCAGGGGTTGAGTTCCTGGATTGCTGAGCACTCTGAACCTGATTCTGAGGAACAAATTCTCTATGCTGTAATCATTCAGCACTTGGTGCGGCCACCACCCTTCTAGAACATGGTGCTCTGTGGCATTTTCCTCAAAGCAAAGTCTTTTACTTTTGCAGTTTTGAGGCTGCAAAGAGTGGAGACTTGCTGCTTCTTGTGATGTCTTCAGGCTGTCTTTTATATTCTCTGGTTCCTTCTCAGCAATTGAGATCTCTTCTGCACTACCTTTGCAGTCCACAGCTTTACTGGAGCTTCCATTCTGACCAAATTCACAGTGTTTTCAATCACCGCTGTGCTCTTTGCTCTTGATTCGCATCACAAATCTGGCTAAAAGCCCCCAAGAATAGCCACACCACCGTCTCAACATTAGACTGCTTTGAAATTCCTTCTGCCAGATTAATTTGCCCACCTCACTTAATTTTAGTCTCAGGCAAAATCTCCGGACATGAGCAAAATGCAGACAAACTTTCTGCCAAGCCATAACACACGTAGTCTGGAGTTCAGCAACTAGTGTAGTCCTTCTTCCCAGCAGAAACCTCCCGAGCCTGGTCTTTACTGGTAGGATTTCTGTCACCCTTCTGGTCTTCTGATCCCTGACCAGAGTCCCCCATACAGAACAGCCTGAGGCTTTCCAGCTCTATGCTAGGTGACATCTCCAAATCTTTCCAAATTCTTCCCACAAGTCATCGCCAAAGGCTCTTGAAACACATTGTAGGTACAGTCACAGCAAAAACCCCACTCCTCTGATACCAAATTCTGTCTTGGTTACTTTTTCTCATTGCTGAGACAAAATACCCAACTCCCCAAATTAGGTCTATTTAGCTCACAGTTTGGGGAGGTTTCAGTCCATACTTCACTGGCTCCAAGGCAGGGTGGCACATGGCAGAGGGCAACAGTCCACGGAGGTGGAAAACAGCAAAAGCAACAAAAGCAAAAAGGGAGGAGCAGCGAGAGCAAGCCTCTTTCCTTCCTTATAGTGTATTCAGGCTGCCTGCCCCAGGCGAGTGTAGCACTCACACCCATAATGCCAGCATTGGACCACAGATCAATGAAAAACTCCAGAAGCCCACACCATGACTGCATGAGGCTTTGGGAGGACATCCAGGTACAAACATCCAGGTCAACGGTGAAGTTGACATAGCAGGATTAATCATCACACAGTCTGACTGTGACCGTAGGAAGGGACCATCCTCCTGAGAGCCCACCCAAGAGATCCGTGTATTCCCTTGCCAGCCCATAGTCAAGAGCATTAGCTAGCAGAGCCCTGGCTTTCCGCTGGTCATTCCAAAGCATGTAGTTGTGTAGGGTTCATGGTCCAGGCAAGGAAGGTACACACGGTGGGGCTCGGTGTGGGCCCCAGTTCTTCCAGCGGGATCTAACTTCCTCAAGACTTGAGTTCATGGCCAGAGCTGACTCTGTGTTATGGACCAGGTACTTGTCCCTGGCTGTAGGAGCAGTCCCACCCCCTGATCACCTGGCAGGACCACCAGCGCTGCTGTGGCCTTGGGTCTCCATGGCAACATCAGGCTGCATGCCCTCCGTGGTACCTCTGCAGATCCCTTGTACGCCAGTGATGCTCAGGCCGTGAGAAGTGCCCTTTGTTCTGTCAGGCAGCCTCTGAGTTCTCACAGGGCTGCGATTGTCCGCCACTCTCAAGCAGCACCCGAGAGAGGTGGTTCCTTAAGTCAGCGCCTGAGGACCCCTGGCCCTGCTTCTTGGGCGCAGCCATGAGTGATGTAACAGCAGGCTGCCAATGGACCCTTTATGTTATCCTCTGCAGCGAATCTTTGGGATTCCATCAAGAACACAGTTCAGTGTGTGCTTTCTTTGCGCCAGTGATAGTGCCATGCGTGAGGCTTTGTGAGGTTGTGTTGTGGTCAGATCATCAGCAACCAGTTGGTTCTGGGGCCACAGATCCGTGCCAGGCAGCACCGGCTTCATGCTCCTGCCTGAGTGGAAAGTATAAACAGACCATAGCCGTCTTCCTGCAGAGGGGGCCTTGGTCAGCGATGCGTGCACTCCTGTTGTGTGTGTTTTCCCTGAGCTCCCACCTGGGAGTTGGACTGAAAGGCTCTATTTCCTTTTCAGCAAATTCATGGCTATCAGGGAAGTGCGGGAGCATAGAACACCAGGGCCTTGCTTTTCCTGCACATGGCTCGGACCATTCAGAGCCTACACGTACAATGCAGGGTCAAGGGTGACAAAGGCCTTCTGCCTGGCATGCAGCTCTGTCATCGTACAGATGCCTCAGTTCTCCCCACGAAGCCCTTTGGCCCAGACTGGATTGATTCCGCGCTCTCTGGCTGACATTCAGAGCAGCCGGGCCTCCGCTTCCCACTGAGCATTGTAGCCCAGTGAGCTTTTTTTTTTTTGGTTTTTTGGTTTTTCTCCAGTACCGGGAACCGAACTCACGACCTTGCGCTTGCGAGGCAGGCGCTTTTGCCGCTGAGCTAAATCCCCAGCCCCCCAGTGAGCTTTTCCCTCCACTCTTGTTTCCTCCCACAGTCCGCTGTTGCTTTCTACTAGTTTCAAATGCGAGTTGTGCCCATAGTGCCTGCGAGATGGCTATGCAAACCAAACACCTCCCGGCCCACAAGGGATCAGTGTTGTTCTGCTGCGGCTGAGCCAGGTCTTTGTCCATCAGCCCACGAAAGAGTGGGGCATCCTGCTCGGCCCAGAGAGTGCAGGCTGAACAGTGCTTGACTTGGAGCGTTTTCTTCCTCAGGGCAGAGAGACTAATCTTAATTAAAAATTTAATTCTGTGCCATATTGTTTTGGATTTTCTCAGCATGAAGCTGACAAACAGCGCTGGCCCTTGAGTGGAAGCATAGTTATTAGGTAAATATTCTCAAGTTATGGAAGCCGCAGGTAAAATGACATAACTCGCACCCGGAGGAGAAGCGGCTTTCCGTAGGTCAGTCCTCGTAGTCTGGCTTTGCGTCTGCCTCTTCGCCTGGAGACTCGAGCTCTACTCATTCGTTCACTTATTCCTTCCCTCGGCCTGTGCCAGGGGAGTCTCCTCAGGCTGCGTGCTGTGCTGGGGTGGAGAGCAAGATGAATGGGACAGAGCCCTGGAGCATACGGAGTTTTCAGTGTTGGAGGGAGGAGACCCATAGTCCATCATCCCAATGCAGCCTTAGGAGCAGGCAGCCAGCGGAGTATGGAGGGGTTGCCGGTTGTGCCTGTGGCATTGGGCAGGTGTTCTAGTCTGCATGGCCTGCTGTAACAGGGGACCACAAACTGGGTGGCTCGTGAACAAGGCTTTTTCCACACGACTCTGGAGGCTGATGAGCAGCTAGTTGACAGTAGAGTGCTGGATTCCTTCTTACTCCACAGGATTTAACGAGCTCATTGTTGGCCATGCAGCGAACATTTGGTTATGATTTGGTTTGGGGTTACCCCATGTTTTCGCCACTCTCTGTGTGCAGAATGCCGAACAGAGCGACTTAACGACCCTTAATGTTTGTCCATTTCTTTGCTGCAGGGAATTGTGGGTAATTTGGCCAGTGGCAAGTCCGCCCTGGTGCATCGGTACCTGACGGGCACCTACGTCCAGGAGGAGTCTCCGGAAGGTATGCTGCATGGCAGGTAGTGAGTTGCATATCAGGAGAGTTTAGGCTTCTAAATTTTTCATTAGCATATTCTAAATCTTTGCTTTGAGGTATCATTTGCCAAGAAAGTAATGAAACATACCAAGCAGTAAAAATCTCTTAAGTGTATTGTGGTTCTGTAAGAATTTTAATAAACCGATTGTATTCGCCCTGGCATTTGGAACAAGAGAGTGGAACCATGAAGTGCTGTTAAATTTATTTCCTGTCTGACGGTTCTGTCCTTTCTAATGTTAGTCCACTGTTATTCCTAAATATTGGTTGGACATTTCCCTGATTGGATATTGAGTTTATACGCAATGTTGCTTAGCCGTAGATAGCAGCTTTCCTAGATGATAATTCCAGATTATCACCACCATATGTTTGAGTATGTTTCCCTTTTATATTGTATTATGAACATTTAATAATCATTTTGCATGTGAGTTAGGTATTTCTTTTGCCATTAGACATTTGCTTCTTCCGTTAACATGTCCATGTTTTATTTTTTGCTTTAAATATAATTATAATAACGGTAGGAAGCCATGTAGATCCTTAGTCAAGGTGTAATTCACAGGCAGTTTTCTAAATTATATTTTCTCTCCATATAACCTTTTCAATCCAACTCTGAGACACTGAATTTCTGGTTCCTTCTTTTTCTTACTGGCTGTTCCATTCTTTGCAGATATGGATGCAGGTAACTATACATTTTCTTCATGGCAGCGCTTGTCTTGTTTTGGAGAGAGAGGAGAGACACAATTCTGTACTGTAGCCTTCCCCTCCCTTCCTGTTCTGTGTCTCATCCTATTTTGTTTCATTTTCTCCTTTTTTTTAAGTTCACCATTCCACCCTGTTCGTCCCTTAGATGTCTTTTGAGCAGTAGTTGTAAGTAGCTTCATGTGTCCCCGTAACATGTGCTAGTACTTAACTCTTGTCCTGGCTACTGTGGATTCATTCAGAGAGAAGAGAGTTCTGAGGGGCTCTGCCCAGGACCCTGCACCATGCAGCGGCGTTTTACTGTCACATGCTGCGCACCTCGCGGCAGTCGCATCAGGGAAAGGCCCGCTTTTTAAGTTCTCCCCATGGAAGATGGCGTAGGAAGGCAAGAGAATCAAAACAGAGGCTTGTGGGCGGGGGCGCGAGGGGCAAGCTAGGCTGACCGCGAGAGAAGCAGGTGCTCAGGTCGCGCAGGGTGTGGAGAGGTGAGAAGGAGCATTTCCCCATGCTCCTTCCCGCCCTTTCCGGGACCTGTCTCTGGGCTGGGCACGTGTGTTTCTTTATTTGTTCCTTGGTGTCTGAGTGTGAGTGGTGGCCACCCGACTTGATTATACCTGGACAGTCTCGTCCAGCTGTTGTCTGGGGTTGTCACGTACTTCCTGGGGCTTACAGTCTTGGGGAGACTGAGGATCTGCTGCTGAACCAGCCATGTGGGAAACGTACGCCTTTTCCAAGGAAATGTGCCTTCAGTGCCCCTCAGGCTCTCCGGCTTTCGGTCTGGGGTGGCCGGAAGTCCTGGGTGTGACCCTGCATTTGTTGCTGTCCCCCAGGCCTCAGAGGTCGGGTGGGAATCCTGCTGGTGGAAGAGCCAGGAGCACAGCTTACTCAGCAGGGCTGTGTTGCTTTTAGCCACTCTTGGGGCTTCTGCTCTTTCGCTTTGGAGGTTCTGTTCGTCCCATCGTGTTTCTATCAAACTGAGATTTCTCTGCACCGCATAAAGGGCCCTTGTATTTGTTTAACAAGGAGCCATTGATCTTGAGTATTTACACAACAGTGAAAACTATACCCAGTGGGGTGACCTAACTGTGGTCACTTCAAGTGACACTTTTCACTAAACTGGAATTTCAAAGGGTCACACATGGTTTTACAGAGTCCTTTTCTTCGTCTTTAGGCTGGGGTGTCATGCTGTCCAGCAGCCCTGGAGGCGGTCTCTGGGATACGGGAAGGGATTGTCTGGGTTTTCGCCTTACACCTTTGGGCTCACCCGGCCATCTGCCCTCTTGCCTCTTGACTCCAATCAAGAGGGAAGTTAGACCAGCACCATGCCCAAGGGATGTGTCAAGGTCTCATGGGTACCCCACAAGCCTGAAACCCCTCAGCCCTCTGAACACGTATTTTCTTGTAGCTGCCACCTGTTCTGCCTGGATCTAGGCAGGCAGCAACTGTCTTTGCTGCTCTTCCTGACAGCAGTGACTTTCCGAACCTTTCTGTACGTGTGACTTTGAGTCCTGTCCCAGGGCAGAGGGAGCTGGAGCTGGCTGGGAAGGGAATGAATGAGAAGAGCTGTGATTCCCGTGTACGTTCCTTGCAATCCTGAAATCTCTGTCTGGTCAGGGAGCCGGCGCTGCTGGGAAGGGCGTCCAGTTCTTGTCCCACGAGTTAACGTAACATGTTGCCTGTGCTTGCCTAAACTGAGGTGGTTTATGTTCCGAAGTTGAGATGTGAGTTACAATGCTGTCACCCAGATGTGCAGTCTTGGGTGACATGAGACACGTCTGGTGGTAGTCGAAGCTGATGATAGCTGACTGGGGGCCTGACCAGTGTCTGGTTTGGGCACTGGCATTTGAATGAGCTGTCTGACTCTTCTGTTTCTTGGTATTACTTCTGATTTGCCCTCTTTGTTAGACTGTTTTCAACTACTATAGCAAAATACCTGAGTGTGGAGACTTTACAAAGAAAGGAGGCTTACTTTTTCAGCTCACACAGTTTTATTTTTTTTTTTTTTCTGTTTTGTTTTGTTTTTTTGGTCTTTTTGAGACAGGGTTTCACTATGCAGTTCATTCAGGCTGGCCTTGAACTCACTGTAGCCCAGAGGCTGGTCTCAAACTCACAGCAATCCTCCTGCCTCAGCCTCCCGAGTACTGGGATTACAGGCATGTACCAGCACGCCCGGCTGTAAGCTCCCAGTTTTATGGCTAAAAGTTCAAGGTCAGGTGGCCCCATTTGTTTGGTCCCTGGTGTCGGCCTCCTGTTGAATGCCACCAAGGCAGGAACACAAGAGAGGGCTTGCGTGCTAAGAAGCCTGAAAGCAGGGAGGGGACTGTCCTGTTCTTTTGTAGCACCCTCAAGAGACCTAACTAGGGTGCCAGGAGGATGACACTAGTTCCTTCCGAGGGCGGTGCTGCCGTTGCCTCATCACTTGCAGCAAGCCCCATCCAGTGAAGATTTCCCCACTTCCAAAGGCTGCTACCCTGGGGAGCAAGCTTCCCATACCTGATCCTCAGACACCTCCACCCCGCAGCGTCCCCCTTGCTCTTGTGCCTGCTGCTTTACATGAAAGGTGTTCTGCTGTTGGCGAGGCTGCGCGACGTGCCTGTCCCAGCGGCGCCTGTTGGATGCTCCCTGCTCACCCTCTTGTCTGTACACAGTCCTCCGATGTAATTAATGGGTAACTGTCCTTTGTCCCGATTCCAGCCCCACCTGGGATATTTAGATTGCTGGGGCAGGGTGGAGGAAGAGTCAGCTCTTGGTAGAAACGTCTGTGTGCAGAGCCCACCGGGGGTGCTGATGTCCTTTCATCAGCTTCATCTTAGCCCGCTCCCTGCAGGGGACGTAGTTGTCTTTGCGCTGCGTGGTCACTTTCCCTGGACATTTTCTTCTTGCAGGGAAGAGAGCTGATTCATAAGACTGTGGTAATTTTAACGACGCAGTTCAAAAGGGGATGGCTTCAAATATTATGTTGAATATCATTTATAATTAGTTACTTAGTGCAAAAGTGGGTATCTCAGTAGGGAGTGTGTGATTCCGTGAAAGTAGGTCAGAGAGTACAGATCTGTACAGGCAGCTACCCATTGTGTGTGTGTGTGTGTGTGTGTGTGTTTGCACACGTGTAATGTATGGTTGTGTCTCAGTCCTAGAGCCACTGGGCTACCCCAGACTGATGATTTAAAACAGTTTATTCTCTCGCAGTTCTAGAGGCCAGAAATCCAAAATCAAGCTGTTAACTGGAACAGTTGCTTTTGGCGGTTCAGGGAGAATCTGGTCCTGGCCCTCCTAGCATCTGGTGGCCCCTGCCATCCTTGGTGTCCTTGGATTATAAACTCGGCACCCCAGCCCTGCCTTGGGCCGCACACCATTCATTACAGCTCACCTTGTGCCTGTGTGACCTTTCAACCAGCTCCAGCTTCGAAGAGCCTGTTTTGAAGCAAGGTCACATCGCAGGCACCAGGGCTGAGGATCTGAGTGCACCTGGGGCTCCAGTTCCCCCTAAGGCACTGCGCGTGTCTCTTGAGCCGGGTTGCATGTGTAAACAGGAGTCTGCTCAGAACTGTCTCGGCCGGCCCTGTCCCTGCCAGCCGTCACACTGTCCCTGGCTGTGGGTTTGCCAGCGCTGCTGGCTGCGGAACCTCACAAGAATGACACAGCCTGCGCGTGACCTTCACACCTCCGTGGGAAATTTCACAGCCGCCATTCACATCCCAGAAAGAGAACTGGGTGAAAATCGTGCTGTTGCCGTGAGGGCCCTATTATTAGCTGCTAATTAGGATAGTGAGTGATGCCCTGGCCGAGTTATTCCGGTTTCTTCACCGTGTATGATGGGTTTAGTATTCAGTGGGCACCTAGCCTTCCTTGGCAGCCCCACGTGGCACCTGTTGGTGTTTAACTCTTCTCTCAAAGAGAAAGTAAAAAGTAAGAGACACAGCTTGTGCAGTATCATGTGGGAGCGCCCTGAGATACTTGGCTCCTTGCGAGCGGGGCCATGACGGTCCCCAGAGGCTGTGAAGCCGTCTTCCCTGGGACATCTCTAGGCCACTTGGTCCCTTGCCCTGTGGGGCATGCGCTATTACGGTGTAAAGCTAGATGTTTCCCCCAAGCCTCATGCGCTCACATTCAGGCCCTTTGGAGGGGGTGGGTTGTACATCGTGGGTTATCCACTGTGAGTTCATAGCTAAATGCGATGTTGGGAGGTGGAGCCAGGTTGAAGGAGGCAGTCACTGGGGGTGTGGCCTGGGAGGCCCCTCCCTTGGTTCTCTGCCTCCTGCCCTCCGTGCCACGAGCTGCCATGCTGTCCTGCCTCAGAGCCAGCCAGCCCCAGACCAAACGTGAGCCAGAACAAGCCCCTCTGCCTTTACCACATTCCCGCTGGCTTGAGCCACCAGTGGCACACACGACTGTCCCCCAGGAGCTTATCCCACCCCATGGGACTGCCCCATGCCGCCGATGGGACAATCGTGCATGGACCACGTGTGGCTTGGAGCTGCCCGGCAGTGAGACATGCGCGTGACGGCCCCGTCAGGAAAGTGTTAATTTGCAGGTGTTGGGTATTGTGTCGCAATGGTCAGAAAAGTGACCGAGACCTGGGCCTCTGCTTGGCCCTCCTGAGCGTTGTTGATCGAATCTTTAGTTTGTTATTGGCTCTTAACCAGCTGTGAGATATTTGGGCAGGAAACTGCAAAGCCTTGGCCGTGCTGAATCTGTCCAGGCCGATGGCCAGCGGGTGCCTGGCCAGGAGCCTGGTGCTGGGGACGTGCCCTGGGAAGTCCGCACTGGCCTTCCGCCTCTCCAGTGGCTGATGCTCCAGCCCTGTCTCCGTCTTGTCCCTGTCTTCCATGCATGTGCAGCAGCAGCCTGGTGCTCTTTATTCCCCTGGTTTTCCTTCCCAGAGTGGAAAACAGTGACTGATCACTAGAAGCCTGGCCCTGTGCCGTTTGTTTTACCCACAGTACAGAGGAAGAGATGTGGAAAAATACAGGCAAAAAT